CATACATTGTGGGTTATTCATTGTGGATTCACTGTGCATTTGGTTTCTCTGTCTTGGAATGTTGTGGTAAATTGAACGGATGAACTTTGAGCAAAGCGTTGCGTTCATAAATCAGTTCAGTTTTTAAAAATGCAAATATGAGTATATCTGTGGAGCTGTGGTCCAGCCATCTAGGCGCTTGACTTCTAATCACTGTGTTGTCAAGTGTTCGAACCTCACTCTACCTACTTAGGTCCTCACAAAATAGGTTTGGCTCATTGTCGATTGTGTGGAGTTGTTCAAATGTTCGTTGAGTCACATTTTATTTTCATTCCTAAATGTTGCATACAAAGGACTTATCAATCCTTGAACATGTAAGCAACGGAATATGTTCCGTAACAAAATCAAATCAAGATTGCATCATGAGCTGACATCGGTTAGGGAACCATTGGTAAACCAACCAGGGTGTACTGAACAGTTGTTTCTGTAGTCCTAGTTCGGGACTCTTCAGCAGCAGGCACTCACAGAGGTTCGAAACCCGGGGAGTTTGTGGGTTCCGCCTTGTAACAGGAAGGTCATGGGTTCGAACCCCAGTGGAGTGGGTGCGTACTGATGAATAGTTCAAAACTAGGACTACAGAAATAGCTGTCCAGCACTGATGTCAGCTCATGACGAGATCCTGTAACGAATCAAATCAAATCCCTGCACACCAACACTTGAATATAAATCGAATCAGTTAGCCCTATTTATACCAGAAACAGATATGCCCCCTCCTCAATGAGGAAGCAGATCCCGACAAAAACCATGATATGAATTTTATTGTTCAAATCTATCTTTAACACCTGTTGGAAAATATATTCTAAAGTTTTTTTAAAATCAGTTTAATAATTCTATTAGGAGTTTATACACTTTATTGTGTCAGCATGTTTAATACTATTTTGTTTAAGCTGTTAATCGTTGTCAATCATTATTCTCATGTTCATATTCATTTTAACGGAACTGACCTAATTTTTATGTTGATGGTAGTGTGATTTTAAACCTTCTTTGTATCTTTGACGTTAGCTAGTTAGTTAATTAATTAGTTGGAATTATATTACCCGGAACGAGATTAATTTTAATCACACTTATTGTGTGACAGCTGATAATACTACCTAGGTGGTTCTAGGCTGAAGTAAGTACAATGAGATGGGAGTCGAATTCGGGACCTGCTTGTCTAGAACTTGAGTGCTGAAACCAGTGAGCCATGATACATCGATTGAATGGACATCGGTTTTCAAGGGAACCAAACACACCTACCCCTGTTTCTTGTGAGACGAGACCAGCAGTATCATCCTGTAGAGCAACCACTCAAGAGCCCTCTGCCTCTATGGATAAGAGCCTTACATCTTCACTGTATTTATTATTATTATGATTGTTTCCTTTAATTCCTAGAGGAATATAGGGTTTCAACCGAACGTCTCCATTGCGTTCGCCTCTCTGCCAACATTTTCACCTGGTTTCACGTCTACCCACATGCTTTCATATCCTCTTCACATCCCCTCCTCCATGTCACCCCACACTCGCACTGACGACCAACTAACTCGCCTCTTCCCATTCGGGTTACACTCGAGCAATGGCCTGTCGTGTGATGTCACTCACTTGATGGTTTGTTTTCTCAGCGTATGGCCAATCTAATCACCTCCATTTCCTCCCGCATATTTGTTGCATAGTTGGTTCCTGCTAGGTTGGTTCGCTCATTGCCAGAGATCTCCATGTTGGTGATCTTTTCTGGTAGGCTATCTGATCTCGAGTATTGAACGAAGACAGCTGTTGATGAAGGTGTGTAATTTGTGGCCTTCGTGACGCCGCGCGGAGCCAAATCTCTGATCCGTATAGTAGCACTAACTGACTTCACATTGAAGTTGAGAATCCGGAGCTTATTTTTCATGTTGAGTACTGTTGACCTCCACACAGACTTGAGAGCAATGAAAGCTTGCTTGCCTTGCTTTCCCGATCCTCGCTTTGATATCCTCATCAGTTCCATCCGCCTGTAGTTGAAACGATGCTTCCCAGATAGGTAGGTAGGTGAAGGAGGTTGATTCTTTCAGATTTCTCCCATTTATGCTGATTGTTGTCTGTTGTTATTGTTGCTGTTGGCCAGGAATCTTCATCACCTTTGTTTTCTCTATGTTCAAATGAAGTCCTATCTTCCCTGGATGCTTCTTTAGCCAACTTGTTGCTTTTCACTTGCATATCTTCCAGTTTGTGGGAAATCAGACATATATATCATCATCGGCGAAATCCAGATCCTCCAAGTTTTTTGTGTGGGTGCATTTTTTTGCCTGTTTCCTCGCTGCCAGCTGTCTGTCGCATTATCCAGTCTACCACAGTCAGGAAAGTCATTGGAGATAGTAGGCAGCCAGCCTTGTCTTACTCCTGTTTTCACTTCGAAGGATTCCGTAAGTTTCCTGTTGTGGATTACTTGGCATGCAGCATTGTCATACAACTGTTGGATGAGATGTATAATTGTTGGCGGCACCCCGTAGTAGCGAAATAGTTGCCAAATCACCTCTCGATCGACGCTGTCTGCTGAAGGCCTTTTCAAAGTCAATGAAGTTGAGATAGAGAGCTGACTGTCATTCCAAGCTCTGTTTAATGATGATCCGTAGTGTTGCGATTTGATCGATGCATGACTTGTTCCTCCTGAATCCAGCCTGTTCCGTTCGAAGTTTTCATCTAGGACATGTCTGATTCTCTCCAGGATTATGTGGCTTAGTGTTTTGCTTGGGATAGACAGGAGCATATCCTCACTGTATATTTGATATTAATTTAGAGATATATGGTGATTGGTTAAGACATTTAAACTTCCATTAGTGTATATCAGACTTCAAATCGCTTACGTGTTTTTTACATCTTTAACAAATAAGTAGTAAAAAAATAAAAAAAATATAAATTACAAATATTAAATTACGTTCTATTCTTTCGTATACTTCTATGGAGTTGATTATATTGGACGAGTTTATAAACAAGGTCTTCAGATAAACACCTAGATAAAGACTACCTGATGGATTGGTGGTAACTGAATTGTAGAATCCTTGTTAGTCACGGGTTCGATTCACTCCTAAATGTTATCCTAGCTCACTAGTCGATAATTAGTGACGGAAAGAGGGAAAGTCTGTGTATTTCACCCAGGTTAGAAAGGAATGGAAAGAAAGTGAGAGAGAGAAAGAGCATTGGCTAATTTGGTTGATGAAAGCCAACAGCAGAGGATGAAAAAGTCTTCTTCTTTATTCTTCCTCTACTTCAGTCAGATCACTGATCCTGACGTAAATTTATCCTTTTTTGAATTTTTTTAACGTTTTTACAATGAGCTATTATAACACTTTGAGGAGAATCATAACAGGATATTTTGGCAGTAGCATAAGCGGTCAAAGTTATAATTCATTAGCCATTGAATTCCAACCCACTGGTTGAATGGTCAACAGAATCACCTCATAATTCGAAGGTCTTGGTTCCCATCCCAGATGGGTTCATAAGTGTGGTGTACGGTGGACTGCTGAAGAACCTCAGACTAGTAGATAACCACTGTCCAGTACTCCCTGGTGGTTTTCATCAATGATTCTTCGTTACCTTGATATCATTTCGTGATTCAACTCAAACGTCATCTTTGTCTTGCATTTCTTTAGTTCTGAGTGGAATATTGGGCTTTTAGTCTTGTGCAGCATCAGGTTGAAATGTCGGCTGCTTGTGAGAATGCTTCGAAGATGTCTGATAGTTATCTTTTCTAATTTTGTCTTCAAGTCATCAGTGCATTGGTTTTCCTTGGATCTCTATTTTTTTAACTTTGCAGAATTTCATTCTTCTTCTTTGTCTGATGAATCACAATCTCTTTGTCAATTTAACGAAAATATTCATTCAGACATCTATAAAACGCAAAATAATTGAGCAAAGAATATCCTTTTCGATAATTTCCTCTTCTGGCTCTACAATTATATATGTATATATGTTTATATACATAGAATATTCTAGAATAGTAGTCAATAACAATATTAGTGTTTTTTTTAAATAATATCGATTTGTAAAGTAAGATCACAATGGAATTACCACAGTTCATTAAAGATGCATAAATTATAATAAGCATGAAAATATAATAGCAAATAGAATATCAACTAAAATTAAGGTAATTTCTACAAAAAGTTGAGGCTCATTCAAACCTAGATGGCCAAGGTAAGGACAATGTCTGAACTAGCTTCTTCTGGACACATAAATTAGGCTTCTTAATGTGGATCCCAACAGCCAGCCTCAGCAATATTTAGTAAACGAACTCTTAAGGCGAAGTTAAGATTTGTTGGTTATGTGCGGTAGATGACTTTGAAAGCTGCCTCGTTAACATCAATCTTGTGTTCTGTATCCACAAGATGAGTGAGATAGAATAGCGCTACGAATAGATTTTGTGTTTGTCCTTTACTTAACCACTATGCAGGGTGATGTTCGGAATATTTTAATATCTTTTCATATGATCCTTGAGATGTGGTTCATTGGCTTAAGTACTCAACTTTCAGTAAATGTGTCGCGAGTTCAAGCCCCGTTCCGCCTACTTCAGTCTGGGTGATCGGACAGCATCGTGAGTCCCCCCACGATAGGTGTGGGTGGCTCTTAGCTATGCACTGACTAACTGAGTAACAAACAACTGCTCTTATGCACTGAAGGTAGCTATGGTTTTCCCACGGATGCGTGTATGTTATCCTACATTTATGGATTGAATTGAATTTCTTAATTCATATATTGTCAAATTGTCCATATCACAAACATCCTGAACCTTTCACTGATTTCACCAAAGACTCCGTCTAACAAGCTGTATTCTATGCACAATAACCAACGAGGAATATCAGAAAGCAGAATGACAATACGATTGTTTATTCCTCCTCCTCCTCATTGTTATTTCCCGCGCAAATCGGGGCGAGTTTGAATAAACAAAACCTATTCAATGTTTTCAATAACACACTGACATTCCTTTTTTGTTTTCTTCTTCTTCCTTTTAGATAACTCATTTATTCATCATTATCGACCAGAGCCTCGATTACTCGCCCTGCTGTACATTCTACCAGGTTATATATGCGCTTTACCAGCTGAAAGTCTAGTTGATCCAGAAATCTATGCGGCATTTATTCAACCTCTGATTATAATCCTCGGTAAACTTCTCTATCTATCAACTGGATGTTGTGTTAAGCCTCAGTGGAATGAATTATTCCCTGATGGTGTTGATGATGCAATAGCCTCATCTATTGGTTTCAATAACAATGATAATGCTGATGATGGTGATAAGGGTCCAATGACAAGTGCATGTCCTGCACTGGCTGAAGCCTGTGGAAGTTTTCTAGGCATGTTACTGCATCGTTTAACCTGTTATAGTATTGATTTTCGACGATTTAATCTATTGGGAAATGGTGTCGGTGTTAAAGATGATGAAGGTGATACTGATAATAATAATAATAACAACGATGACGCAACCATGCTGAACAGTCGTCATCATCATAACCATGATGAAGCATATGCACAATCCTCATGGTGGACACCATTTGTCCATCTGAAATCAATCGTCAGCTATTGTTATAATAATAAAAGAGGGAGTAATAATAAACGACGTCAGCATAGTTTTTGGTTTATACCAACTTTAATGACAAAATCGCTAGGTCAACAACTCATTAAAGCCTTTTTATACCCAATTATGCAAGAATTAGATAGAACTTGTGATCGATTAAAGATTTTACTACAGAATCATTGTAATAACCTCGACGAGAATGCTGCTACGACGGCTGTCAAACAGAATAATTGCGGGAAAAGTTATACTGAACAACAGAATGAATTCACCACGTTGACAATTTGGATGAATCATATTACAAATGGTCTGGCTGATGCTTTAGCTCCTCGGAAACAAGAAATCCCTACGACAGCGACGCCGACGACTACTACGGTTATCGGAAATGATATTATCCCTTGGCATGGATTAAAAAGTCTAATGAATAGCTTAAATGATGCCTGTCAGATATTACCAAGTGAAGATTTAAAATCTTCTGTATCTGATTGGGATATTACTTATTTTTATATGAATAATGACCAACAACAACCACAACAGCAGCAGCAACCGCAGGAGAATGTCAATGAAGTGTCCATGGAGTTACGTGATTCAATGTTAAAACTTGGCCTACAGTTGTTAGATGTGATGTCAAAGTTAATTGAACAAGCTGATGACAATTTAATGGACAATAATATAATAGTAATAATAATAATAATGAAAATTTGATTGGTGATATGCAAGAGAATAATGATGGTTCAACGGAGAAATTAAATCATTGTAAGTTTTTTGAATCAGATGGGATTTCATACATTTGGTTCCCTTGATAAATTTCGATAGAGAAAGAAAGACCAGATTTGCAGTATAAAATGATCTCACCAATCTATTTCACAGGTTCTCATCAGCTGCACACCGCCACCTGAAATTACAATGCTTATAAATAATGACATTTCATACTTCATTGTTTGAAAGGTGATAAAGAAACCATTATGAGATGAACGCATCCGGAATATAAGGAATTAAATTTTTTTATAGTTTAATTTACCATCAATTTATATACTATCAAACTATGAAAAAAGAAGAAAAAGGCGGGGGTGGTGAGAGAAGACAGAAAACAGAAAAATCTAATAAACACTGTCAACATGGCAACTCAACAAAGTCAAAGTTCAGCAAATTGAAAACTTGCTTAGTGAGTTGAACTCACTAGTGTCTATGAGTAATCAGTGTAATGAAAGTGATATGGTTACCAAGGGAGTGAGAGATTGACTACACTCTCTTTCTGTGTGCATAAGTTTGGTCTGAGACGTTTGATTGCAATCGCTTCAGCAGTAAATCGTAGTAGATTCGCTGTCCTTTGTATGTTTAATATTTTGAAGGATTTGGAAATCTCGACAAAATGACCCGTATCCACAAGGTGTCTGGTAATTGCACTTTGTAAATATTTGCTTCCTTTTAAGCATAAGTTTCTTGGAATATGCTCTGAAAAAAATTTAATTCCTTATATTCCGGATGCGTTCATCTTATGATGCTTTCTCTATTACCTTTCAAATAATGAAGTATGAAATGTTATTATTTATAACCATTGTAATTTCAGGTAGTGGTGAGAACCTGTGAAATAGAAATATATCATTTTATACTGCAGATGGGATTTGTTTTTTTTTTTGTGTGTGTGTGTGCACTCTGTTGTCGTCGAATTGATGATAAAGTTTTCTGTATTTTCTATGTTGACACTATTCTTCTGCAATGATTGTCAGGTCAAATACATAGGTGAAAGTAGGAGACCAGGTGCAGTCAGACTAGCTGAGCACAAATCTAGATTAGTTTACCCTAATAAGATAAGAAATCTAGAGAATAGTTCAGCTATAGCACTCACTACATGCAATTACACACAACCAACCATACAATAGGATGGTGTGATACAATGACAGATTTGAAATCTAAGTGATATAACAGTTTGGAGGAAGAGGTTGATAACAGAAGCTTTATGTTTATCGAATCAACTGTAAAAACGTGTAATAGGAATGTTTCAACACCTGTCCCAGATGGATATCTGGAAAATTCTACTACCCCTACGACAAATAGGAGAGAACAAAGAAAACTATAAAACTCAAGTTTCGAAGTCGTGTGATTATAATTGATGATATGATTATGAACAGCGATAAATTTTGTTCGAAACGTCATCCAGTAAATAATACTGTTTCTTGACTTTGTGATATATTTAATAAACAAACTAATATGGAATTACTTACTACCACAGTGACCAAGTTTTACACATATATTAACCCGTTTCATCTTGTTCTCTGTAGTTTTTTTTTTAGCTGCCTCCACGAATGCCCATAAACTTTCATCTCCTCCTTCTTGCACGATCTCCGTCATGTCATCCTCATCAAATACAGACCCGACTAGTGTTTTCCTCTTCGGGTTCCTCTTGAAGGCCTGCCTGGCACGTGATGTCACTCATTCGTTTCCTAAGCATATTTCCTATCCACCCATTTCCTCTCGGCTCATATGTTAAGTGATAGGTTCTAGAGGTTGGCTCGCTGCCCAGAGTTCCTTGTTGCTTATCCTTTTTGGCTGGCCATCAAATCTTCAGTATGAAGCCAACGAAGGCAAGTATTGATGAAACTTCTGTAGTTGTCTGTTGGAAGTGCTTTACGTGACGCGTGAGTTAATTCTGTCAACCATATAGAAGCGCTGACGTGACACTGGTGTTAAAAATCCGAATCTTACTATTTCCCAGCACACAGAGTAATGGAGAAGATCTGTTGCTAAAGTGGTTGATTTGGAATTAGTTGTGTTCTCTGAGTGCTGTTTGGTTTAATTACGAATACAAAATGAGTTCCTTTTTATGCTAAAACTTGCGCTGAAGGTGTTGTCCAGAAGGACGATGAAAGCTTCGCAATTAAAACAACCATCACAGAGAACACAACTAATATCAAAACACATAGTAATGGTTTATACTGGTCGAAAATAATGTTTCTATAAAATCTATCATCTTAGGAAGACCAGTAGAGATAGTGATTACATTGAACAGAGTTCTCATCCTAGTGTCGTTTGCTTACAGTGTGAATACAAAGTCCTACTGTTTTGAGGTTCGACAGTAGTGATACCTTTCTATTGAATAACTAAAAGCCAGTTATTTTATCTTTGCTTATTGTTTATAATCATATCAATGGAGAGAAATGAGTTCTACTCGAAATGTCGTCAATCAATAAAGAATACTATATCACTGCGAATTTTTCATCGAATAAAATTATTCAGTAATGGAAGAATTATCAAGCTGATTGACGCTGATTGCAGAAGATTTCCACACAGATTTAAGACTGACGAAGGTGTATCTTGACTTTCCGACTCGGGCTAGCTTTGACATCTTCATCCGTGCCAGTTGCCCGTGGTTGAAACCGTGGTTCTTGACTTGAGAAGTGAAGGAAGCAGCCTCTGTCAAATCTCTCCCGTTGATGGTGATTGGTGCTGGTTGTTGTTTTTGTTGTTTCTGTTGGTTTGTTATCTTCATCACCTCCATTTTCTCTATGCTCACCTGGAGTCCTGTCTTCGATGTCAGCTTCTTGTACCAGTTTGTTGATTTTCGCCTGTAAGTCTTCGAGTTTACGTGACTTTAGACATAAGTCATCCGCGAAATCTAGAGTCTCCTTATCTCTCCAACGTACCTCTGTCTTCTTCCTCCGCATACGCGGTGTGACGCATAATCCAGTCCACCACAATTAGGAATGTAATCGGTGATGATAGACAGCCAGTTTGTCTTAGTCCTGTATCCACTTTAAACGCATTGCGGAGTTTTCCGTTGTAATATAGCTTTTAAATGAGGTTGATAAAGACTTGGGGCACTGCACGCCACAACTCTGAAGTAGTTTCCAAATTACTTCTCGGTCAATGCTGTCTGTTGATGGCCTTTTCAAAAATGATGAAGTTGAGGTAGAGGTTTTACTGGCAGTCTGTGATTTGTGCGATTATGTTGCCTAGATTTTCCTAAATCTACCTTGTTCTGATGGAAGGAGTTCTTCTCCCAGTTCATTTTTTTATTCCCTCTAGGATGACTCGACTCAATCTTTCACTTGGCGTGGAGAACAGTATGATTCTGAACAAGTTCTTGCGGAGTGAGCCCTTACGTTGCCCTTCTTTGGCAGTTTGACAAGACAGACAGCCTTTCTTCCAATCAGTAGGATGCCTTTCCATCCTTCCCAAACATTTTGCAATGTTTTCATGAGCATATCCGCTATCTTCTCTGATTTGCGTTTTCATTATTTTGGGGGCAGGAGAATTCCGTTTGATCCTACTGCCTTCCCAACTGCCAGTTTGTCTGTTTGTTGTCGGCACAGAACTTTGCACCGATGTGCAGCAGTTCAAGTCGCCACACTCCCTCCTTATGTTACACAAAGCAACAGAGGAAAGTAGAAGTGCATAATAGAGACAGTAGACAGGGATGTGAGACGAAAGGAATAGTAATAACGGAGAACAATAAAGTTTCATTGGAAATTATAAGTCACAATGAGTTGATGCATCTGCGCCATTGACAACGAGGATTCTGAGCCATATCACCACTAATTGTCTTCAGCCTTCATTGGTTTTTACCGTCCCGACGACCCCAACCCGTCAGGCGGTCTACACCTTCCTACGTGGCTGTCTGGCTTAAACTAACTGTTGTGGATTTCATTGACTGATGAAGTCATCCTTTGGTTTGACAACCGCTAGCTCTTTTCCAGCCTGACCCGAATTCAGCTAGCATTGTCTGTTGTCGTGGAAGGCAATGACTAGGGATGCATACGTAACACATGTCCTAACCATCTGAGTTGATGTAGCCTCACAGCCTCGTCGTTTGATTTCCCCTCCCACCTACCTAGCACTCGACGCCTAACC